CTATCGACGCCCCGAGAACCCGGAGGAAAATAGACATGCGTGCTTGGGAGAAGAGCGTGTTGGCTTAAGTCATGGATGAAGAAAGACATGCGCTACGGCATCGCCAGAGCCGTATACGGGAAGAGTTTGGTCAGTCTATGATCTCGCCGCCGTAACGCTCTCCTCCCGAGTGAGCCAATCAGCACGCGGCGCAGAGCGAGAGGCATGAGCGCATGCGCGTGAACTCCCGGCTGCTCCCAGCTGAGTGGGGAGGGCCGCCATTTTCGTTCATTCTCCCGGCGGAATGCGTGGAATCGGCATCCAAATCTCGATTATTTCATTTTGTATCGCTGGCTCTGGCAAGAAAATGACATACTGTTATTCCTCGGTGGGTTAAAAAGCTAACAAATGAAGATTTTTCGGCGTATGGCCAAAAACCTTTATTCAGGCGAAAAAGAAGTCGGCCCGTAGCAGACGACGAGTAGCCCCAGCAGTGCTCTTCTCCGACAGCGTATCGAAAAAATGGCTGTCGTCTCTTCTCTGCTCCCTTCTTTCTTTGTCGCTCCTTCGGCGCTCTCCTCCCTTTCATTTACCTTTCTCCTCACCGGCGCCTTCGTCGCCACACCCACTGGCCAAACTCTCCCATTATACGGATCTGGGCATCGCCAATCCGCGGAAAGTAGACACGCGCACCGGGACGGCCGCCCCAGGGAAGGAAAGGAAACTAGGCACGCAAGCGTTTAGAACGACGACAAAGAGAGGGCGGGGGGAGCTTAGACATGACCTGAGTTTTTGTTGACGCACACAAAAAATGCGCGGAACCCTAGGCATAAAGAGCTTCGCTGTAACATGACTCACCGCCGATGGTCACCTGAGCACTAAGTATTCTGAACTAAGTATCACTCGCCTCGGATAGCGGAGTGCTACCGCAGGCGACCATCGGCGGCAAGTCAAACTGAGTCCAGTTTTCTTCGATCTCTTCCATCTCCTCTTTGCCGAGCAAAACGTCGGACTGTGGACTCCATGGTTCCAGGTTTGATCCCGATTAGCCCATTGGCGGAGCATCCTGCTGATGGCGATTAATCGCTACTAGTTATAATTGTGAGTGAATTATTACGACTATGTATGCCTTCAATATGCTATGGATGACTATGGCTTGCCTGCCCCTGCGTGTTACGCTTTTTTGTCACACTCGAGCGTTACGCTTTTCGCATAAAATCCCGCCCATACATGCATTCTGTGTTAAAACATTAATTTTTCCCTTTGTGTTTCTCTGATCTGGAAAAAAACATTCAACAATTTTCGGCGATGTTCCCAAATAAATCTTTTTTTTTTTTTTTTAGCGTAGCGAAGAAAAGTCGTGTGACACGGAGTTTAAAAGAAAATAGTGCATTGAGGATTTCGATTTGGTCATCAGTTCAGTGACGCGCACAAAAATTGATGCTTCTAATCTTGTTTATTGGTAATCCAATTTAAATTCCGCAAGAAACCCGATGCCTAAGAATTAGGTAAGGGATGAGGTTAGCAATACACCAAGGAATATTAGACTCAACCGATGGCTTGGCTGGAAATATTAGCACCTCTCAATACTACTATGATTCAAAACTGCCCTATAATTTTAACTGATCTTAGATTGACAAAAAAATATTTATGCTAAGATGTTCATATTAATAAAGCCTAATTACGTAGTTTTGGTCAAACCATGCCAATAAAAACAAAGCGTTTTGCAATAAGCCAGACGGAGGTCTCCGACAGAGAAACCGATCGCGAACATTTGATTGTAAATGATGCTGTTACTTCCTTTTGACAATAAGCCCCGGCAGACAGGGACAGAAAGTAAGAGACACAAGAACAGAGATAGTATTACAGTTGAACCGATTTAACAAAACCGGATTTTACGAATTTTCCGATTTAACAAACAAATACCGATTCTTCGGCAGCCTATGCCCAAGCTATCCCTTCGTCGATTTTACGAAGTTCCCGATTTCACGAAATTATTAGCGGGTCCTGGTGACTTCCTTAGATCGAGGTTCAACTGTGTTGCTATTTATTGCCACTAAAAATAAAGAAAAGTGTACGGCTATATGAATGTGTATTTTATTAACATCAAAATTACCAGTGGAGAAAAATAAGCGAAAGTTGGGAAATTCGAGAAAAGAAGGTTGGATTTTGAGAGCTTAATTAAAATTCTACATTTAAACGTCCGGCAATGATTAAGTACAACTGAATTTGCCGGTTAAATGGATCATTAGATTGACCAATGATTTCAAATTCTGCATACTCATCAGCAAATAAGTCAGCGTTATGTTTCATGTTTCATTCATGTTTTATGCGTAATATGTTTCTGCTATTCTATCTGGGAGCTTGGGACTAGCCAAACTGTTTCACAGCTTTTTTTACCGTTGATTCCACCAAATATTGTATTGTTTTCAATGCGTTAGTAATACAACGCCCGTTTTGACGAAATCCCGGCGACGACTTTCGTTTCTCAGTTGTCGCGTGGGACGCTCCCATTGGTCCGAAGCGCTGAAGTCAGCACGCGTCAACCTCTCTTTCTCTTCCGTGCCCAGACAAACTGACAGACACCGCCAGATTTTCGTCAAAACGAGCCCTTTGGTTTTCAGCAAAGTCACACGCACAGCTGGCGCGAAGTCAGAGAACGAGGAGACACCGAGCAACACCTTCTAGATAACAAAGCCTTAGGGCTGAATGATATGGCTTAATTAGAAAACATCAACGCCGGACGCAGATTGGAAACGAGTGCTGAGTCATCGCTCGCTTTCGGGTCAAATCTGAGCCGAACATTGACGCAATTGGCGTGTCCAATCTGTGCTCGGTGTTTGTCTTCTCATATAACGCCGTCTCATTCAGCACTACGTCTTTGTTATCTAGGAGGTGTTGCGCCGCAGCGCGGTGGAATGCGGGCGTGTTCAGTTGCCACTCATATGTCAACGGTCTTTCTTCGCTCTGGGTTTCTGAAGTAGCGGTGCGTGGGCTGTGAGGTGGTTGTGTGGTTATGTAGTTACCACGATTGATGCTGTTCACTCCACGAGTGATATGGATGCGGTTCCATCCACACGTGGTAGGGATCTGGTTCATTCCACGAGTGATGTGATGACCGTATTCAAGAGCGTCGACAAACTCTGAGAGGCAGAGTACAATAAAGGGTGAAATACGTGGACTTCTCCGAGTAATGACCGCCGTCTGGGGAATTGTCTGCGAACTACAAATGAAAAGCAGCCCAACATCACTCCGCCCTTCAATACGCATTGGCATCGTGCCGTTTTATCGGCTTTCAGTGCTTTTTATACCCCATACTACCGATACTAAAAAAACACGAAGCGTCAAAGTAGACTAATTACGCGCGAAGATAGATCCTGACAATGTTGCTGTCGCCATTTTCGCAGGGCACCGTCTCGGTGTCCCGCGACAGTGGCGACAGCGGGATGCGCAGAAGCTTACTGAAAAAAGGTTAATTACAGGAAGATAAATTGGTGGATTCTTGTGGAGTCTGTTAGCATAATCCTTGGGAAGCGCCACGCACGTCCCTCTTTAGGAAACGCTAACACTGATCCCATAACGAGGCCAACACGAGGCAGCAAAAAATAGGGGAAGCAAAAAAGAGAGCCAAAAGAAAAAAATTAAAGGGCCAGCGTTAGCTCTTGCCAAAGGGCTGTGTGTGTGGTGTTTCAAGGCTCATGCTACTGCATTCTCTAATAATCCACCAATGAATCTCTGTAATTGTAATAAACGATATTAATATATTATATGTCAAGAAAAATGCTCTTTGATTTCGTATTTCCAAGAAAAATATGGTGACCAAGACTTTGTTAGATTTAACTTGTTTAGGGATTTAAAAAAAAAAATGATCGTGCTCACTTGCCCTTTTGTGCCTAAGCAGGTGCACATGATTCTTACATTAGTAAAAAAATATTATATGAAACATGTTACTTTGCCAGTAAATGTTCTTACTTCACAATATAATTCCTCGGCTATTGAACACCCTTAGAATACGCGTGCTGACCCTATATTTTGTTGTTTAGTGAATTATCATACTCAACAGAATGCCATAAATGCAGCACTTCAGTAGACTGAACTTGCATTGCATTCTCTCTGCTACCGTTTTATTTTAAAATCTTTAATATAATTGCACTCTTCATTTGAGCGCTTTTCTAATCAGATAGTTGCTCGTGTGCGTATCAATTTTTGAAGGTGTAGGGTTCTTGTCCCATTCTTATAATGCTATCGCATGAGCATACTATTTACTTCGCCAGCATCAGCGGAACAAATCGGAGTTTCTAGGGTGCTACTTTTATCAATAAGGTTCCCTTATAGTGGCGAAATGTCTTTCTTCCAAGCAAAAAAAAAATGAAGAAAAAATTAATATAAACACGCCGACTTACCTAGGCATTTTAATTCGACTGTCAAAATATACACTACCATGTGAAAAACTGCCTCCTTTAAGTGTACTCATGAAACGCTAGGTTTTTATGCGGAAAATGATGTGAAAAGCGTGCTAGCGATGGTCAGAATATCTCAAAAGACAAAAATAAGTGAACGTGTTAACCCCTTGCTTGTTTTTGTGTCTGCATACCCTGTGTTTTACAAAATACGCTAAAAATGTTTTGGGGGTATTTTTACTATATAAAAATTGTAGAACAGTTAAAGACGCATAGTGTGCGCATTGTGCTTAGGTTCCTGGATCTTTTTGAAGGCGGCGAAGCGTTCGCCGCTTTCAGAAACCAGATGTCTAACATATCGCACACCTTGACTACAGGAGACGGCAACAGCTGCAACGGCGTAAGAATCAGTCAAGCTCCCTCTTTCTTGTCGGCTAGCCAATTGGAACGAGTCTGGCCCCCCCCAAAAAAATTAAAATGACAATCTTTTTTTTATTTTAGAACCTTTCTTATTTGTGATTGGTTTGAGCATCTCAGCAAATGTTTTCATTAAAGTATAAATACTCAAACCCACTGTCGTACCAACACATATTGAAATATTGTTTCAGGCTGAATCTCAGAATGTACGTACAGTCGCTCATTGCTATTTTTTGTCTTTTAATGAGTAGCTACTTTCAAGAAACATCTGCCACGACTCCACTGCCAGAGGAAGATCCGGCAAACTTCGGAGATCAAGATGTAACAAAGGTTTGTTATTCGCTATTAAATCTTGAGATAAATATATTTTAGGTCGCTTTATCACCAATTGTAGTAATATTTTGTGTTTAGAAGCCTCTCTCCTTTTTATTCTCTGAATATTTGTATCGCTACCGCTTGAAAAAAAAACTTTGCTACACCCGTACACATAGTGTCTTTAAGAAGACGGGATGCTGAAAACTAATTCAGGTTTATATTCGAGTAGATATTAACAGAACAATGAAATCCGAAAATGATAATAATTATTAAACAATATGCGCCGTGAAACCGGGACAAAAAGGAAGGGACACGACATGAAAACCTATTTTGAACTGAATGTTATTTAAGAAAATACTATTTATATACACTATCAGGTAAAGCCAAAGGTGATGTGTGCAAAAGAAATACGCTAACCACTACGTAGGTTATGCCACTTCAGACGTCTATGAAATCCTGGCGAACTGAGGGAAATAATGCGTGGCTCAAACGGGAAGATACGCTAACGATAGGGCACGCGAGCACGAACAGTCTGTAAACGAAATGCCATAGGGCAACTTGGCTGTTCATTGTATGCTACCCATGCACCCAGATTCTGGAAAAAGAAACGAAACTTTTCGGGACGTTAAGAAGCAAATTATTGCTAGAAGTGTATGCATCATACATTATTAGACTTTCGACTGCGGGGGCACCGAATGTATATTCGTGCCGTCAGGTCAGCTCTCCGATAAGTTCTTTTAATTTCTGCGCGAGCTACTTGAGGGTTCTATAAAAAGTCGAATATTTTTATTTAAATGAAACAACTTGTTGCAAAATAGCGCTTCCTGTTGTGTCTATATTTTTGTCCCTGTTTTACGGCGCATACTTATTTATTTATTTATTTACCCCCAGGGCCAGAGGCGTTACATAGGGAAGTGGGTATTAAAAAGGTACAACACAAAGTACAGCGTACAGCAGAAGATATAATACAGTAGCTATGGCTCTTTACAAAAAAAGATTGGAAACGGCAGTTTTAAAACACTCTATATCGGGGATTTCGGCAATGGCTCCGGGTAGGTGATTCCACATTGTTGAGGCACTAGGAATAAAAGACTCGTAAAAATGTTTAGTACGACAAGACGGAATGGCAATTTTATGAAGGTGATCAATGCGTGCTGAAACGTAATGAGGTGTTGTTAGTAGTCTTTATTTTATAATCGTATTATTATGATATATATTATGAAACAAGCACAGACGGATCATTTTTCTACGTTGTGAAAGAAGAGGTAATAATAGGCTAGACTTCATTGCGGTCACACTGGATGTACGATGATAATTTGAAAGGATGAAACGAGATGCGCGGTTCTGAATCGTTGCTAATTCGGAGATAAGTCATTCTTGACTAGGATCCCAAACTGAAGCTGCATATTCCAGTTTAATACTAACTAATGTTTTATATAAAAGTAATTTTAATGAGCTGGGAGCAAGACAAAAATTTCTTCGGAAATATCCAAGCATGCGGTTCGCGTTCTTTACAATATATTCAACGTGACACGACCAGGACAGATTAGCAGATATATGCACACCCAGATATTTATACGATGATACGGTTTCGAAAGAGAGATTATTTAGACGATAAGAAGCACACGGAGTATCAAGACGAGAAACACGCATAGATTTACACTTATTAATGTTTAATTTCATGCTCCACAAATCACATCACTCAGAAACACTGTTAATATCTGACTGCAGAAGTGAGACGTCAGAATCACTGTTAATTTCGCGATAAATGACGCAGTCACCGGCAAGGAGGCTGACGGATGAACATATATTAGTGAGCAGGTCATTAATATAAATGAGAAAAAATAAGGACCCCAGTACCGAGCCTTGGGGTACACCTGAGCCAGCTGGAGATAAATCAGAATTGATATTGTTAGCCGTCACCAATTGGGACTGGTTAGTGAGGAAGGAGCGCCACCATGCAAGAACGTTGGTGTCTAAGTTTAGTTTAGTCAGCTTGAGAAAGAGAAGTTCGTGAGATACTTTATCGAATGCCTTTGAAAAATCGAGGAATATGCCGTCCGTCAGAGATCCACGATCAAGAATGAAATGTAGATCATGTGTGAAACACAAAAGCTGAGTCTCACATGAAAATGACATACGAAACTCATGCTGGGATAAAATGAAAAAAAGAATTGGACTCTAAGTAGTTTGCAAGATGGGAGTAAATTATATGTTCCATGATTTTACAGGAAATGCTGGTAAGTGACACGTGTCGAAAGTTATATATATATAGGTTTATTACTAAAAAACTATATATATAGCTTTCTTATATTATAATTAATATTTTAAAACTATATATATAATTTTATTCATTTATTGTGGTTTATTTCAGTGCCACAAAAACTATACCCATTTTAGTGGTTTATTACGTCATCATAAGAATTAACACGTCAAGAACGAATGTTCAGATGCCAAAAGGAGAGGAAGACGTCAATGTATTTTCTAAATGGCTTTTCGCATCCAAAAATATAAACATCAAATTTATCGAAGTTGCATTCGAATTTGTTAAACACCAGTTGTGGACGCGTAACGGGATCAGTGTCGTGTAAAACGGAAGGATAATTCAATGATCGTACAAGACATAACCTTAAACACCGCAAAGAATTAAGGGCTTATTTTAAACAATTTTTTATTCCCACGAAAAGAAAAAAAACAGCTGTTTAATATTTATGTTGTTAGACGCAATGGACCCTTTTTACATAAAAACAACACCAAGTGACTAAAGCTCAAACTACGGTTAGAGGACAGGATGACAGCTGCGATACCTTTCCTGCCTTCTCTGCTTCTGATCCGAGTTGCGGATGAAGACGGAGAGGTAGTGCAACCATTCTTCCGGACGCCAACCCAAGTTAGACCTTTCGCCGCTGCGGGAGGAAGGCCTGCGCATGTACACAACACGTCTTGAAAACGGTTAATTTAGAAGGAGGTAGCCCGCTCTAGGCCCCGCCCAGGAACGTTCGTTGTAAAATTGTTTCTCAATGCCATAGTTGTCTTTTATTCGACCTTTTTTTTATTTTCGATAAACAAAGTATATAGATAGGGTAATTATTGCTTTCAGAAGCATCAAAAATTGTCTGTTTCGTTTTGTTGTTAAACGATAACAATCATGGCTGCCAGCGTTTGAGGTGAGCGTTTGATACCCTGCGTAACTCGTTGAACTCGCCGCCTGTATTTAGGAGTGCAAGTTGTTTCGCGTTCACCGAGGTGTTTAGCAGCAGATTGCCTCAACCGACGTAGTTTGCAGCAAACAACTGTCGCAAGCACAGGCCTTCGGAAGCGGTGTGCAGGTGTTTGTTTTCATAGCGGGGCAGGCGTAAGCCTACACTCTAAAATAAATGTAGTAGTACTTCCTCCCTAAAAGGAAGAACTCGCGTGTCCCATATATTGCTCTATCAAAGGAGAGAAATCGCCACATATTTTTGGTCGTGGAGAAAACGCTTCTCCACTAAGAAGGGAGGAAAATTGCCACCTTTCTTCGCCCAATGGAGGAAACTTTCTCCCATCGTGTAATTATTATACCTTCCACCAGAAGGCGCTCGAAAAAAAAATATGTGTACAAATATGTGTACACATATTTGTACACAAATATGTGTACAAAAATGTACACATATTTGTGTACATACACCTGACAGGGATACAGACAAAGTGGAGAAAGCGACTGTACCAGCTGGAAAAGAAATATGGCTTCTTTACTGTGCCCGTGGCTGCCACTACAGAGCAAAAGTGGGAACTGGAGGTGCGGAAGAGAGTGCGCGAGGAAGAGGCTGTGCAGTGGTCGGAGGCGGCCCGCTCAAAGTCAACCCTGCAAGTGTACAACCGCTGGAAAAATGAAATATCGACAGAGACAACCCTGTATGATAATAGCCTGGGCAGCCGCCTTCTTTTTGAAGCACGTGCGGGAGGGCTAAGAACGCTAGTGTACAGGCAGCGTTTTGACCAACAGGTACAATCAACATCATGCCGGGCATGTGGCGAAACCGAGGAAACTATCAAGCATATTGTGCTCTCCTGCCCAAGTCTCGTACCAAGACACCCGGTAGATTGGGGCCAGGCGCCAGACAACGGGCTGCATCTAGACGAGGCACAATCACACGAACAATTTCTGGCGCCCTCGGCTTCTGAGTTGGGGACACAGGCAGGGATGCTGTGTGCTGGCCCAGTGCGGACTTAATTCGCGCTGCAGTGGCACTGCAGCCCAGCTGGAAGTGCAGCGACGCAGTCGAGAGGACTAAAAGGAGGCTGGAGGACTGGTGGCGAAGAATGCAACAGTAGTGCAATTTTTTTTTCTCTCCATTTTTATTCGGCTAGGTCTGATTTCTATTCAAACCGCCCGCTTCAAAGGGAACAGCCATAAAATCATCATCATCATCACCATCAAGGGGGGTGTTAGAGACGTGCTAATTTGTTTTTCGAGTTTTTTTAGAGTTTAGCGCCCCACGTCAACTATGTTCTGGATCTGGCTTGATTTGTTCGTTTGCGGGTTTCGATGCTTAATAAATGCGTCACTTCCCATAAAACCGACTACGCTACTCTGAGAATCGTGAAGCTGACGTGTTTGCGACTGTCACGTTCCTGAAGTGACGGTTAAAGCGGAAGATGAAGACAGGGAAAAGCTCGCGGGGGGAGGGGGAACATGACAATTGGCGAGCCTGCCAGGATTCGTGGCCCATTTCCGACGTCTTGTTCTTCTGAGAGGTACAGGAGCGTCGGAAGGCGAAAGGCATCCAGGGTCATGGAGGTAGAGAGATTAACGGCTGTCGGAAAGGAACTGGGCTGTGCCGGGCCAGAGTTGAGAAAATGAGTGGACGACGAAAGAACGCGATTAAGAGAGGAGAGAGCCCACGAGCGCGAGTTGGCAAGAGAAAACCGCGAGGGGGAACTAGCTAAGCAAGCTACTTTAGAGAAAGAAAGGGAGATATTGCAGTTGAGAATAGCTGCGCGAGGGGGTCACCAGGAAGAGGCTGATGAAGGAC